CTGCTGGATCCTTATGTCCTTTAAGGGCAGAAAATAGTGGAGACAAGGTAGAGGTGGGCAGGTCCAAATAACTCTTTATCCAATTCAGCTGTCCAAGGATTTGTTGTAAATCTACCAGTTAAGATGACAGGAAACTGTAGTTGAGGCATAACTGGAATGGCTGCAGATGCTGTCAGCTTGTGTCCCAGATACGTAATAGGTAAAGTCCGCTGGATTTTTTCTTTAGCCACTGTCAATCCTGCTTGCATCAGAGTATGGATTAGGTCCTCTATAAGAGCGTCAGGGATGTGTGATGATGAAATTAAAATATCATCCATGTAATGACAACAGATGACCGCTAGGTGGCGCTCACGGAATGGTTGAAGCGCCTTATCCACATAATACTGGCATAAGGTCGGAGAATTTTTCATACCTTGTGGGAGAACCGTCCATTGAAAGCGCTGGGTTGGCTTGGAGTTGTTCAGGACCGGCAAAGTGAATGCAAAACGCTGTCTGTCTTGTGGTGCCAAAGGGATAGAGAAAAAACAGTCCTTGAGATCGATGACTGCAAGCTGATGGTCTTGTGGCAACATGTTGGGATTTAGAATGCCAGGTTGCAAGTCCCCATAGGTGCAATTGGTTGTTAACCTTCGAATCGTGCAACAGACGGTATTTTCCAGATGCCTTTTTTCTGATGACAAAAATAGGCGTATTCCATGGGCTGGTAGAAGGTTCAATATGCCCCAGTTCAAGTTGTTCCGCAATTAACTGGGCTGCCACTGCAAGCTTCTGTCTAGGCAAAGGCCACTGATCCACCCATACTGGGGTGTCTGTGGTCCAGCAGAGAGAAAGCGCAGTCCGGGGCATGGCAGGGGCAGCCCTTAGCATAAATTTGTAGAAATTGTAGTTTCCGCTGCAGCAAGCAGGTCTCGCCCCCAAAGGGAGACGGGAATGTCTAGAACCAGTGGTAAGATAGTCATTTCAAAGCCTTGTGAGCCTTGAATCAAAATAGGGTTCCTGCTGCGCTGGGCAGCTGCAGCGCCACCAACGCCAATAACAGAAGAAGCTGGCTCAAGTGGCCAGGCAGAGGGCCAATCCTTGATAGCGATCACAGAACAGTCAGCCCCCGTGTCCAAGACCCCTTCAATCGTGCGACCCCCAAGGGTCATCTGGATCTTTGGACGCTTCTCTGTGACTGGGAAGGTAGCAGCAACAAGGGGGTCATGGTCCTGGGTTGGCTTGGGACGCATATAAGTTTTGCTATAGGAGAACCTGATTGCAAACGTGCCTCGCGATCAGAAAATACAGTCACATAGGGGTCATTTGTTGTAATCCATGTAAAATATCTGGAACAAGGTGGATCCCTTGCTGCAAAACCTCTGACAGTGGAAAAACAAGGCATTGTGCTGAAGAAGAAAAACCAGCCCCTATTGACACCCTGGCTTGATGTGGTACAAAGGGGACTGGCAGGTATAAGTCCTGAATTAAAAGGAGGCGAGGTAAAGCCGGAGGTGGGATGGCTGGAGAATGCACTGGATCCCCTATTGTTGAGCCTGGGCCCGGGGTGGGCCCGACTGCCGGTTTCCCGTCGGCTGATTTTGCTGGTTCTGCTGAGGCGTGGCGGAGCGACACTGATTGGCCCAGTGGAAACCTTTTTTGCAAATGGGGCATTTTTTGCTAGGACGACATTGCTCTGTATTAGATCTGCACTGTGCACGAAAATGGCCCACTTTGCCACATCCAAAGCAGGTTTTATCCTTTGCAGGATTGTTGGACACAGTGGAGGATAGAGCTGCGGCTAGCAAGCGAGCTTTATGCATCTCAGTCCCCACCGATTGGCAGGCTTTAAGCATATCTGCAATGGCTATATTGGGAGTTGCCACCAATGGGCGTAGAACTTGTTTACAGTCCTCATTAGCATTATCAAAAGCAAGCTGGCGTACTATCACTTCCTGGGCTGCTACGTCCTGAACTTGCCGTTTAAGGGTGTTATACAAGCGATCGACAAATTGTCCATAGGGCTCTGTAGGACCTTGTCTAACACTCCCCCATCGGCCATCGCGCTCAGTTTTGTCATCAGGAACAGAGGCCAAAGCCTCTTGGGCAGCAGCCGTGGTGGCCTCCCAATATTGAGGATCGAGAGTTAGCTGTTGGGCAACAGTAAGAAAATTGCCTCCTCCCGTTAACCCATCGAGGACATCAGCTTGGGTTAACATGACGGGGGCTGGGGGTGGGGCGGCACCAGCAGCGGCAGCAGCCAAAGCAGCCTGATGATTAGCCAATGCAACATTATTAAGATTATTCCGAATCCCATCAACACGACGTTGGCAGGCCCAGTGCCAGCTTGTATAAACAAATCATTTGATGAGGCTGCATTACAGGTGCGGGCCAACAGCTTAACATCCTCTGGTATCAAATTCTTGTTGAAAAAATAGTGCCAAAACAAGCCCAGGGTGTAAGGAGATTGTAAACCATTGTCCTTGACAGAGGAATGCAGTTCCTTTATGAATCTCAAATCAAACCTGGTCGTGCCGGGCTGGGCCTCCCCCTGGCGCGGCAGTAGCAATCACAGGAAGAGATTAGGAGTTGTACAAGTCAAAACCCAACAATGGGGGCAGCGGCACGGAGAGATTCTTGGAGAGGAGTAGTAGAAGCGGTGCCAGAGGCCTTGCGGCGCAGGAGGTGGAAGAACGGGGGGTGCTGCAGAATTTGAAGAATGCAGGGGAGTGACGGGAGAAGGCCGGAGGGAGAATGTCCGGCGGGTTTAGGAGGTAGGTTTGAGGCAGGCAAAGCGGGAGCTGGGAAGGGCGGGCGAAGAAGCTGTTTGCGGCAGCCAGAAGAATGTTTGAAGGAGTTAAGCACGACATAGCTTTGTAGACGTTACTCCAGGCGTGCAAAACCTTGACATCAATCTGAGGATGATTTTGAAAGAAGTGTCCAATCTTTTTTCCAATCGTCTAACTCCCAATTTCCGTCCTGGTGGGAACCAGGGGCAGTGAGTGTCCAGGGCTTTTATAAGGGACTTAGGTCAGCTTTCCGAACAGCAAGGTTGTTACTGGCCAAAAGGAATTTAAGGTCTTAAAAAATTTTTTCTGTGGTGCAGAGAGAGATTTTCCCATGAGTGCAAGAGTTGCAAAAAGAGCAAGGGAAGCACTTACCGGAGGGATCCGTAGGAGGATGAGAGAGAGGCGCCTTTTGCCCTGTCCCGGGCGGAGATAAGTGCTGATAAGTCCGTAACGTAGTCCAGAATCACATTCACACCGGCGAGGCTCTCACCGGGGATCCACTACGTGGATGAACGACGCGTCTGCAGCCCTTGCGGGGCGAGGTGAGAGCTGAACGTTGTACACACGGGAGCACTCACCAGGGATCCACTACGTGGATGAACGACGTGTTGGTGAGTGCTGAATAATGAAAAACAGGCAGTCACACGGGAGCACTCACCAGGGATCCACTACGTGGATGAACGACGTGTTGGTTAGTGCTGAATAATGAAAAACAACGTGAAGTCCGAAGGCAGTCACACGGGAGCACTCACCAGGGATCCACTACGTGGATGAACGACGTGTTGGTGAGTGCTGAATAATGAAAAACAACGTGAAGTCCGAAGGCAATCACACGGGGCACCAATTGTCGAGTTGCAGCTCGGCATTCAGAGGAAAATCAGTCTCACACCATGATAGGTTCCGAAATATGGCTGCTCCTAGGGCTTATGCAGCACAGCTTTTATTGTGTGAAATGTGTGAAATAGAAAGATACAAAAAATACAAGTCAAGCAATTTGTTCTAGCCAGCAGATAAAGACCTTGGTACTAGACCATGCGAGCGATCAGACCATACTACGTTAGCCAATCATATGGGACAGCACGAGCTGTTCACGCGCTGTTCATGCTCCAAGGATGCTTCTAGCTATGAAATCACCCTGTAACAATAAGAACTTTGCTCATGCTCTCATGTACAAGCAATCATTTTCCCACAGAGGTGGGCAGGAGAAGCAACGTATGGCTCTCCTAGGTTCCCCTGGCATGTACTTTCCCTTGTATGTGAACTATTGTTGTGGACCTGCTTGTGCCCAATCTGGTATGTAGAATTCCCAAAGAAAGAAAGGAATGTAACAACCGTATGTAGTTACCCAATCCACCCACTTGTCAATAAGGACCCCCCTTTTGTTACCCTTGTTATTGTTATTTGTACTAAGGGTTTATGAGCAAAGTCTGGCTGGAATCTGGGATTGACTGAAATTTTAACTGGTAGGGGTCCTCCCATACGCTGGTGCAGCTCCTCAATCTTCCGGTGTGCGTAGACTCACTGGCTTCCGGGGTGCAGTGAGAGCAGACCTGTAGTCCCGTTGCCCGTGCTCCTGCCCGCCTCCGGTGGGGCTAGGTGCAGGGGTTCCTGGTGAGCTTCAACTTCAGAGGGTTAGATGGGTTCAGCTCACAGTTCCAATGACCCTCAGACCACTTCAGACGAGAATGATGAATCCACGGGGTTACTTCCGCTACTTTCACCGCTGTAGGTGTGGCCAGCAGAACCGTGTAGGGACCTTTCCAGCGAGCCGTCAGTGGTTTCCAGCGAGCCGTCAGTGGTTCGTCTTTCCAATCTCGTACCCAAACTCGGTCTCCTGGCCGAAAAGGATGAACTGGCTCGGATAGGCAGATGGGAATGCGCTGGAGACACCACCTGTTTAAATCAAGAAAAACACGAGAAAGAGCCTGGATTTGTTCTGCTGTTATCTGCCCCCCCCCACCTGAGTCAAGTCTGCTGTTTTTCCCCTGGCTATTGGAGGTGGTCTCCCATACAAAAGTTCAAACGGAGAAAGTTTCAGTCTCTTTGTTGGTGAACATCTGATCCTAAACAAAGCTATAGGCAACATGTCTACCCATTTACAATGAGTTTCTTGGCACAATTTCGCTAATTGTGCTTTCAGAGTCCGATTCATCCTTTCGGTTTTCCCTGAACTTTGAGGTCTATAGGCCGCATGTAGTTTCCATTGTATTTGCAAGGCCTTGCATACACCATCCACTATTGATGCAATGCTGGACCATTGTCACTGCCTATGCACCTTGGTAGACCAAACCTTGGAATGATTTCTGTTAAGAGGCGTTTTACAACCTCCTGGGCCTTCTCTGTTCTAGTAGGATAGACTTCAGGCCAACCTGTAAGAGAGCATGTGAAGATCAGAAGTGCCTTATATCCTTTTGCCTTTGGCATTTCCGTAAAATCTACTATAAAATTCTCCATTGGCATTAAGCCTGTTTGCTGTATTCCTGGTGGAGGAACTGGGCCTTGCTTTAGGTTGTTCTTTGCACACAGAAGGCATGCGCGTGATACTGCTTCAGCCAGCTGTGATATCCTGGTTATGTAAAATTGCCTATTCAGGCTTTCCCGCAATGCCGTGGCCCCATAGTGAGTGGACTCATGATATTGTTTCACTATGTTCCTGCCTAAGGCTTCTGGGACAAATACTCGCTGGTCTGGAAGGATAAACCATCCATCCTGTGGTGGCATTCTGTATCCCCCTTCCTGTTGGGCCCATTCCTGTTCTGCCTCCGTGTAGATGGGCTTTATTTGCTCTAAATCAACTGCTGTAGGAAGAAGAGATGCTGTTATAGAGGCATTTGGCGGTGGCAGCAATGCTGCCCGTTTTGCAGTCAGATCTGCGAATTGATTTCCCTTAGCTGTCTTTGTGGTTCCTTTGCTGTGGCCTCGGCAATGTATGACCGCAACCTTTCTCGGAGCCCACACAGCTTCCAAAAGCGCTTCTAATTCCGGGCCATATTTCAGCGCTTTCCCTTCTGCCCCAATGAGCCCCCTTTCCTTCCACAAGGCTCCGTGGGCATGTAATGTTAAAAAAGCAAACTTTGAGTCTGTGTAGATGTTCACGCTACATCCAGCTGCTAGCTGAAGTGCTCTGGTTAAAGCCACAAGTTCCGCTTTTTGCGCTGAAGACGAAACTGGCAGAGCCTGCGCTTCAATGACATCAGTTAGAGTAACCACAGAATATCCTGCTCTCCTCTGCCCCTCCTTCACAAAGCTGCTTCCATCTGTGAAATATTCTACGTCTGGGTCTTTTAAAGGCTCATCCTGCAAATCTGGACAGCTAGAGTAAATTGTGTCCATTACTTGAATGCAATCATGAGGTTCATGATCCACTGACTCAGGAAGGGGTAACAAAGAAGCGGGGTTCAAGGTGTTTACAACTTGCAAATGTACTTGTGGGTTACCACACAAAAGCCCTTGGTAATTTGCCATGCGCTCGTTGGAAAGCCAATAACTTCCTTTGTATTCCATTAATGTCAACACAGCATGAGGCACATTCACATAAATCTCCTGTCCAAAGGTGAATTTAAATGCCTTTTTAACCAATAGGGCTGTTGCAGCTACTGATCGCATACAAGGTGGCCATCCTTTCGCCACTGCATCAAGTTGCTCTGACAAATAAGCTACAGGTCTTTTCCAACTTCCCAATACTTGAGTCAAGACCCCTGCTGCAATTCCAGATTTCTCATGAACGAAAAGAAAAAAAACTTTTCCTGGGTCTGGCAAAGCTAAGGCTGGAGCCTGCATCAGTTTAGATTTTAGCGTATTGAAAGCTTTCCTTTGCTCTGCATGCCATTCGAAATGAGCATTCTCTCTGCCTTTTGTGCTTTCATATAGAGGCTTTGCTAGGGTGCTAAAATCAGGGATCCAAATACGGCAAAAACTTGCAGCCCCCAAAAACCCCCGCAATTGCCTGCGGCTTGTGGGTTCCTTAATGACACAAATGGCTTCCTTCCTTTCGGATCCCAACGCCCTCTGCTGGTGAGAAATGTGAAAACCCAAATATTTCACTGTCTCTTGGCAAATTTGTGCCTTTTTCCGAGACACCTTGTATCCTGCTTCCCAAAGGAGATAAAGCAAATCCTCTGTGGCCTTTTTACAAGTCTTATAGCTATCACATCCAAGCAACAAATCATCCAAAAACTGAAGAAGAACTGTTTTCCCAGGCACTGAAGGGAATTTAGACAAATCCTGGGCAAGGGCTGTTCCAAAAAGTGTTGGCGAATTCTTAAAGCCCTGGGGCAACCTTGTCCATGTTAATTGGGTTTTTGTCCCCTTGTAAGGATCCTCCCATTGGAATGCAAATATGGGCTGACTCTGGGAGGCAACACGGCAACAGAAAAATGCATCTTTTAAGTCCAACACTGTAAACACAGTTGCCTCTGATGGAATTAATCCTAGGAGATTGTAAGGATTGGGCAAACATGGATGCAGAGTCTGTATTAAATTATTAATCCTTTTCAGATCTTGGACTGGGCGAAACTGATCTGAATTTGGCTTGCGCACTGGAAAAAGTGGAGAGTTCCAGCTGGACTGGCACTTTACCAAAAGCCCATATTGCAAAAACTTGTCTATATGCATCTGCATTCCCTCTGCTGCTTGTCTTGGGATTGGATATTGTCGAGTTGCTATTGGCTTTGCCCCTGGCTTTAAGTTTATTATGAATGGGGCTATATTCTTTGCCATGCCTGGTGGGTTGTCCTCCGCCCATACTCCAGGTGGGGCTCTCAGATTTTTAGGAATCTGTGAAATTTCCTTTTGAGAGTCTTTACTTGATAAAGCCACCATCATTTTCCATGCCTGTTCCCTAGGCACTTCTACCGTGACTATCCCCGATGCAGCCTGGGGTAATTTCATTTCTGCCCCTTTTGGGGTGAATGTAATCTGTGCTTGAACCTTTGATAGAAAGTCACGTCCCAGCAAGGGGATTGGGCATTCAGGCACATACAGAAATTGATGTGTAAGGGTTTTTCCCCCAATCTGGCATTCTTGAGGTTGCAGAAATGGTTTAAGGACCTGGTTGCCTGTGGCCCCCACAATTGTCACTGCTTGGTTGCTTTTTGCTTTTAACGGCTTCGTGAGCACCGAAAATTGCGCCCCAGTATCAATCATGAAATTTACTAAGCGGCTCCCCAGTTTAACCGAGACCATGGGCTCTTGGGAGCCTAAAGAAAGAGTTGAGCCCGGTCTGTCCTATGCATTCTCATTCTCATATTCCTCCAATTGCGCTAATCCAACAAAATCTCTGCTACTTCCTCTGTTCCTCACATATCTTCCAGCTTGCATCCTTCCTCGCTGCGATCCCCATCCACGTCCACGTTCCCTCTGTTCCCTGAATTCACCTTCTCCCTCTGTTTCCCTTGCTTCAGGGCACTCCTGTTTCCAATGACCTTCCTTTCTGCAAATTGCACACTGATTCCTTCCCAATGGCAGTCCTCTTCCCCTTCCTCTTCCACGTGCCCTACCGGAACCTCTCCCTTGGGCACCTGTATCAAATGCTGAGCCTTGGCTGATGGCTGCAGCCAAAAACACTGCCTTTTGCTTCATTTCCCGAACTCTGTCCTTCTTAACCTCACTTTCTCTGTTCAAATAAACCTTTTGAGCGATTGCTAGAAGCTGATCCATTTGCAATGTTTCAAAAGCGTCTAACTTTTGCAATTTCCTCTTAATGTCCGTGGCGCTCTGAGCCACAAATGCTGCATTTACCATTTGCTTACTTTCTGGGGCTTCTGGATCAAAGGGGGTATAAATTCTATATGCCTCCATTAAGCGTTCCAAATAATGAGAAGGAGATTCATCCCCAAGTTGAACCACTTCAGCCACTTTAGAAATATTTGTAGGCTTCCTGGCAGCACCCTTTATAGCCTTGATAACTTCCTGCCGATAATTGTCCAAGGCGTCCTTATCCCTTTCTGGGTCCCACCCTGGATCTGTAAGGGGATATCTGGCATGGACCCAAGCATCTGGATTGTTTTCAGAATTTGGCACCTGAGCCTTAAGATTGTTGTCTGCAGTTGTATCTATCCTTCTCCTTTCCTCAGAGGTGAAAAGGGTCATCAAAAGATGCCTGCAATCTTGCCATGTAGGCAGATGGGTTACCATAATGGAAGCAACTAAATCCAGCATGGCCTGAGGTTTTTCTGAAAAGGGTACCGTATGCGTTTTCCAATTCAATAAATCTGTGGTTGTAAAGGGGACATATTGAAGTGTGACTGCCCTGGAAGGCCAAGGACCCGTTGGTCTCCCATTTGCATCCACTGGCCGTGGCTCTTGGGGCCCCAAAACAGCCCTTAGGGGAAGCATTGGCGCTGGTGCCCCTTTGTTATTTCGTAAGTAATAGCCTCCTTTAGGAAACTGAGGCGAGGCTGGGCTTTGAGATGTGCTAGGCAAATCACTTTCTCTCATTTTCAAGACCAATTTTTGGCCAGAATCTGTGATTGCATCCATTAACTTCCATAATTTTGAACTGTCATGGCTTTCTGGGGTTCTCAATGAACTAGTTTGTTCTCCCCATGCTCCAGACATTTGAAATGTGCTGGCTCCTCCTTCCGCTCCCTCTGTCTGTGTCTGCCAGACTGATATGTCCTGGTTGAATTTTTCCTCGGGAGGGGAGGGTAATGTGCTTTGATCTAAAGCTGCTGTTTGTTTTGGCTGGGAAGGCAAATCTGGAAGGCTAGGCACATCCAGCGATGCTTGAGAAGGCGGGGCTGCCTGTGAAGCACCGTTTGTGGCTTGCGGAGAATTATTTATTGCTGGCTGAGATTGGCTGGGCATAGGGATCTGTTGGGTTTGTCCTGCCATTGCAATTTGGCTTGGCAATGCTTGCCTTGAAGGCGGCTGTATTGCTTGGTCTCTGCTGCTATAATTGTATGGCGGTGGAGGGATTCCCTCCTCCTCTAAAGGTCCAACATAAATTTTCCTGTCAGCTGCAGAGGAAGTTAAGGGTTTCCTGGCTTCCTGCCTTACAGCGAAAATTTCACAGCTGTTGCTTTCCTTTTTTATCCTGAGCCAGTCTGGATTTTTCAAACAAACAGTAGTCCATTTTGAAATATAATAAAACTGCTCCTTAAATAATTCCGGTCTCTGCATTATTGAGTCCATAACTGCTTGACATGGCTCAATCCTGAAGGTACCTGCCCGTGGCCAAATTTTGACCTGCTGGGGCCAAATCTGTTGGCAATATTTCTTTAAAGCTTCCTTACTTGGTTTGACCTCTCCTGGTTCTTCTGGAAAAACCTTTTTAAAATTTTCTAACATGCATTCTAGGGGTGTACAGGCTTGAACTGGTTTTGAACATTTCCCCCCCATAGTTCTTTGCAAAAACTTTCCCTCTTCACCAGGCAAAAGCTTTCAGCTAGGCAGTTCAAAAATAGGACAAAACCACAGCACACTTCCTTTTCCTTCCTTGCCTTTCTGCGCTCATTCACAACCCTGCTCCTTTCTTTTTTTTTTCCTTCAAACACTCTTCCTTTTAACACAGACCTTACTCATACAACCACAGTCCCGGGACTCTCACACACACAAACACAGCCCTTTCGCCCCCCTTTGCCTGCGGCGAACAACTTGGCAGAGAATCACACACACATACAGCATTTTCCTTTAACCCCCCCACAGCTGTTTTGTTTCCAACTTTTCTGCAGAACCTCCTCCCTCCTTGGTGACCCAGCTTCTCCTCCCTCACCCTTGTGGGAACCTTTCCCTTTAACGGGAGGTTACTAGTGGGTCGCCTGAGTGTGGATCAAGCACTCATTTTATCTCAACTCACCGTGAGTTCCTTTCGTGGCGCGCCTTTCCTGTTGGGTCACGTTCAGATTCTCCCTCGGTCCTCGCCCCGTCCGTCTTGTCGGGAGTCCGCGCCGGAGGCGATTGCCTCTCTCCTTCGGAAATGATGTCCGATTGGCGCCTGGAGCGAAGCCAAAAGATTCTCCGGAACGTCCTCCCGCCAAGAACCGGGGGCCGGCTCTTTTTGGGTAAAAAAAACCCTACTGGCCTGTCTGATCCGAGTCACGGCACCAAATGTAGCAATGGGAGTACCCGTGGTGAGTTAAAATAAGGATCAGCCAGAGACAGCAACTGGAGAATAAGAAGGTGAGGTTTATTGCCAGGCAATAAGGACCCAGTTGGAATATCTTCCAAAGAACTGGGACCCCGATAGACAGAAATCCAGAGGTCTTTATACCTGAGTAAATCACAGCAAATCATTGATCATCAGACAATCACGAGGGACTCACAATATTGTCAGCGAGAATCAGCCAATCAGCAAGCGGTTGTCACGCTACTTGACCCCTGGTCAAGCCTTGGTCAGCACCGGGTTCTAGTTCTGCTTTCCGATGCTTGCAGTGACGCTCTGTCTAACCTTTCCCCTAGTTATGACAGGACCGGAGCTTGGACATTTTGCGGTTTTGCTCTTCCTGTTCTGTGGATTAATTTAGCCTGTATCTGAGGGGAATTTGTACCAGAATCTCTGATTCATGTCTTTGTCCGGGGTACACAGATGTTTAGGGGAAAGGTCAGCTCCTAACTTTGCTGTTTCAAGCAGTTTGCAGTTTGCTAAGCACAGCTTCCCTTTTGATTCAAAATGGATTATAAAGTACTGTAATCCTTGATTTGTGTAAGCATTTTTGGATATATATTGAATATATTGGTTACTGATAACTGATTATATAGATAGCATAGGGGTAGCCCTTCTTCCTTGCCTCAACATGACCTGGAAACTACGCCGGCTCCCTCAGCCAGTAAAGCGAGATAAGTGCCGCAACCCCAGAGTCGTCTGCAACTGGACCTAATGATCAGGGGTCCCTTTACCTATATATGCTTGGACATTTCAAGGGTAGTATCGTAGCTTGTGCAGTCCACAGAGATATAAGGGGGTCTGTATGCTTATTAGTTTGTTTGTTTATATCATAAAATTTATATGTCGCTAGATTGTAAAAAAACAAACCTCAAAGCGGTTTACAAAGAAATAGAGCAATAAAATTGAGAAAAATGCACAGCCATACTTTAAAACATACGAAAGTTAAAATCCTAAAACAGATTAGAATTACCTCAACTTTTCAAGCATCTGTGTAAACGTTTTAAGCAAGCACCAAAAAGAGTCCAGTGAAGGCTCCTGCTTTTCTTCCAGTGAAAGATCTTACTCATGCCACCTTCAAGTTTCACCAGGCCCTAGGAATATCAGGGGGCCAGCTTTGTTACTGATTTGGCACGGAAAACTATTTTCAGCCGTTTTATGTTATGTCTGCAAATTGTCTTGAGACGTATGGAAATAAAGAAGCAATATCATTAGAAAGGCATTCATGAGTTGGATTTCTAAGTTATGCATGGACACATTTTAAATAATGTCTGTGGAAATGTATGTGGTGGGGTATCCTTCGAATCCACATTTCTGTTAAGTTTTAGAAGATGAGTGAACTGAGTTGCTTTGCAGCACCTGGGGAAAACTAGGCAATTTAAACACACACACACACACACACACACACACACACATATATATAGGTTTAAATTGCCTCGTTTTAGTGGTTTCCAGCTCCCCAAAACAGCAGTTTGCCTGTGTTTGCTTCTACCACAGTCTGATGCAATGGTTCTGTGAAAATACAATTGTGTGGCTGTTTGTGTCATAGCAAATGGGTACACTTGAAAGTGGTGACATGGTTGCAGAATAAGTCTTAGATCATGTATAAACCTTTTTACAGGAAATAAAAAATTTAATTTAATTTCAGGCTCTTCTTAAACTGCAGTCCTGTGCACATTGACCTTGAGCTTAGGCTTGAACTCTACTGATAGGTCCATTGTGTTCAGTAAAAATGACTGCAATAGTCAGGCACCCCATCTGGGAAGGCGGGGGCCACCCCCATGGAAATTTTCAAAGAGGGGGCCAGGCCCCCTCAAAGTTCTGCAGCGGCCATGCACGCACACCGAGGGGCGTTTTCACATCACATGCACAAGCTGGGATGACACGTCAGCATGCCCCATGGTATCATGTGGGTGTGCGTGCACAGTGTGAGCACACACCGCAGGGCATACTGACACCATGCAGCCCCAGCCTCCTCAATCATGCGCATGGTACCAGTCAGTCAATCCATCTACATTTGCTTATTTTAAGCCTTTGATTTAGCTTCTTGATCCTGACGTCAACATAAATACATTCAACT